TAGGTCAGTACCTATACTCCCCCCTGAGCGGTCGGAGTCGGGACGCTCAAAAGGCCGACGAGCGGTATGAACGCGGCCCGGCTTTTTCCTGGGATCTTGTCTCCCATAAGATTTGGTGCCGCTTTCCGTTAAAGTATCAGATACTGCCATTCTAGTTCTTCTCATCCCGCTGTGTTTCGGTTATTTTGCGCATTGGTATGCATAAAGGAAAACCCACTAACTAATAGATGCATACGACGGAGATCAATCTTTGATGTTTTTCAGCGAAGTTAAGCTCAAATCGGAGTTCGATAAGTATTTTCCGACATCGAAGGGAGACATTGTCAGCAGCGTGGCTACGGACGGCTTACGAACAAGACCCAGACAAAGAGACGAATCCGCAGTCCGTGAAACCCGTGGTCGGCGTTTTTTCCTTTAACATAGGATCCCTCATATATTGAGAGCTGACTGGCATAGTGTAATGCACTGACCTTCTAGGTGGTGTCTACACAGCAGGGACTGTTCTTTGGTGCACCCACATCTAACGGGTCACCAAAGGAGGAGGTTGAGTCACGGTGTGGGATTTCAGACATGACATTAGAAGGAAGCGATAAAGTACTGTTTGCTCACTTCCATTAGATACTCCATATCCCGAAGGTGGAGTGGGCATACTCGCGTGCTTCATTTGTACGCGACTGCTTCTGTGCTGTGGTGGGAGCCTTAGGTTGCCTATTTATTACAATTGTAAGCATGTCTTCGTCCAGGGTGACAGTTGTCTCAAATGGGGATATTCAACAAAAAACACATTCCACACCATGCTCAAATAAAGTGCGCAGCCACGCCCTCTCCTATCCCCGGTATAATTAGTGTATAATGATAGCCTCAGGTTGCTTTATATCAACTGTTGGTAACTAAGTGAGGTAGCGTTCATACTTGGCGACCTCTAGCGAAAACGGTCCAAGAAGAGCATTTCATTTGTTCGATGGTTTGCCTTCAATGTTTGACGAGTCAAACGCGAACCGTTTTTCAGCCGATGCTAAGCCAGGATACGGGGAATAAGATGAACATGCTTTACGAAACAACTTCAATTAAAAATGGGTGAGCTTCTTTTCCTCTGCTCCACCAACAGGATGGTTATGTTGTGATTGACTTCCTCGAATATGGTCTTATCGCTGCGGATGATGGGGCGTGTCAGAGAGGAAGAGTTTGGCGCGGCGTCAAACACATCCTTCCTGACACGCCTCCTTTCATCTGTTTATTTGATCTTTTTCCATTTCTTTCTGGGGAAACGGGTTGGCGGCCCGCTAAAAGCACTCCTCATCATCCTCAGCGAAAAAATCTGTAACTATGGGTATTTAGAGGACCGTCAACAATTGGCAGCTCCATAAATGATGGAAATACAGGCATTGGTGAGTGAACTACTTATTCTATCTTTGAAATCTCCAGTATTCACTGTGCTGGTAACAGATCGGTAGTCTTCCTAAGTGAACCGGCTGAATAACTTCCGTTTCAGATGAGCATAGTGCAGTATCTTCCCGAGAAGGTGATGGAACACCCGAAGACACTCTTGTGATAGTGGAACCACCTTGTACAATTAAAATATCTCCGTATGTGGGTTTGGGTACCTTTTGAAATGTAAAAATAAACGACCTGTTCGATAGAGACCGATGTCGACGTCATGTGTCTCGAGGGGAGCCAGTGGCGTTGTTGAGGGAGGAGGAAATCCCGGTATAAGTGAGCCACACCGTACATTCCATCTTACTCGAAGGATAAGTAGCACCCACTTCAGAGCTTTCTCTCTTCTCCCTCAGCACCTACTACAACGCTCACATAAATCCGACCCTGCACATCAGCACCCCAAGACAAATAGAGCCTGAATTTGAAATATCAATCAACTCAGATTCTATAAATAATAGAAGCCCCGGGCCGATTACTGAAAGGTTCTATTTCTCCGAATAAGGTTTTCTGCAAATCTTATAAATAAATCTTGCTGGGAGAAAGACATGAAAAGAGATTACATGAAGCCTTGTTCGCTGAGGATGCTGAGGCGTGTCAGAGGAGGGGGTTGGATTTGGCGCGACGCCAGCCACTTTCCTACTAATTGTGGTCGCGTGTCGATTTCCACATTTCCACTTATTTAAAACTCCTCGGACTAGAGATCCAAGCATTCTAGTCCGTTCATATAAGCTATACGTGCGTCCAATATTAGAGTGTGGGACCAGTGTTTTCAGTCCCTATCTAAAAAAGGATATCCAAGCACTCGAAAGTGTACAGAACAATTTCACTCGCAAACTAATGCTTAGATGCTCAGGACTAAGTTACCTTAATATTCCACGAGGGTCAGTAAGGAACATTGAATATGGCCTACAAACCCTTGAATGGAGAAGGAAAAGATATGACCTACTCATGACGTTCAAAATTTTAAAAAATTTGGCAAAAATAAAAGGACTTTTTCTCTATGTTACCGTCCAACACTAGAGGAGCATCGATCAATAAGGCTGCGTTCATACCGTGCGACGAGTCGTCAACGTCGACGTAACCGACGTTTTCGACGACTAGTTCGCGAAGAATATATATGTATCGATCCGACGTAACGGACGAAAGCGACGTAACCGACGTAAGTGACGAAACCGACGTAACCGACGACTACTTCACGAAGATTAGATACGTATTGATTCGACGAAACCGACGTTTTCGACGAAAGTGACGAAACCGACGTAAGTGACGAAACCGACGAAGCGACGAAAGCGACGTAACCGACGTTTTCGACGAAAGCGACGACTACTTCGCGAACATTAGATACGTATCGATTATCGAAAACGACGAAACTGACGATTTCGGCGACTGTGCCAAGAATTAGCTTTTCGTAGATGGTTTTTCCCCCACAACTTTTTTCACATCACTTATTTATTTCCTTTTCTGTTTGTAAACAATTTCCCTATCTCCTTCCATCCTCTTGAGTGACCTTACAACCTATCTTCTTCAGTTTTCGAGAGAAATACCATGACAATGGACACGTGGCTTACGTGGAATCGATGTGGTTCCCAGTATATATAGTCTATAGTATATAGTAATAGTCTATAGTCTATAGTATATAGTAATCGAGAAAATCATCAATCAAAAAATTTCCAAGAGCTGAAGCAAAATAAGGAGGGAACCCAGTAATTGGGAGTGGGGACGTCCTGTCGGTGGTAACATTCGAGCTCTCCGTGCGACACACACTTTGAAATGTACAATAATGTCAAGTTCTCATTTTCAGTGCCACCCATGACTCTGCAGTTATGCCTCTTCCGGGTGTTAAGGACTCATCGCACTAATTCAACTTTACCCATTCTGATGTCGCAACTGCGGTCCTTAATGATATGGTGCAGCCTCCTCACGGTTAAAAGTCTGTAGTAAGCAAGAGGGACCAGATATTGGTAGATAATGACTGATACTGGGCTTTTTCAACTCACTTG